TTACAAGTCATACCAAAATTCCTTTGTCCAGTACCCAGTCTTCCTCTCTGGTTAGTTCACATTTCAGGAGTTGTGAGCATGTAACACCACGGACAGAGCATTTCAGCCCTTTGGATGCACTAACAGGAGATTCAAAATAGGCTCAGCTCTCATCTTCTGCCGAGTCTGCTCTCTCACATGCTACACGTAAAACCCTCAGGATATAGAAACCTTCGCCTTCTGCCTCTCCAGACCACTTCTCAGCTGTTTAAACTTCAAGTGATAGGTTTATTGTACACCAAGAGGCTTGGAAAAATGGCACCACTGCTTGGAGCGGTAAGGGGCTTCCTACCACGGCAAGCAGCGTTAGTGTACACTACGCAGTGGCACCGGGCCCTCCCTGGAAGCCAAGGCAGAACTGGAGAATACTCCGTTGATGTAGATCAATGGCCTGTCCCTGGCCCAGATGTGACACTCGCTGTCACAGTCCTCAGTGATAAAAGTCCCTGCTGTATCAGTAAGTCAGTTTTGAAGTTCTCCTGTTGTAGCAAGGCCTTACAGTCAGTGTGGATGCAGCATTTCGAAACAGAAAATTATTTTCACTTCTCACTTAGAACCAGTTCTAGCTCTTGGAAATCTTGGAGTCGGCCAACATCTTTGTCCTTTCTTACCAGGGTGTTGGGTAACTTTCTGATCTTCTCCATTTGATCTGGATTAGCTCCCAGCTCACAGCAACTCACTCTGAGCAATTCTTGGTAGGTGAGCTCTTGCCGGTCCAGTTCCATTTCAACGAAATCATTTTCTCCAAGAGATGTGTTCTGAATCCTCTCCGTGAGTACCAGTTCTTGCATATTAAAAGGAAACGCTCCGGTGAAGAAAAACGGCTGGAATGCTCCCATTTTGAGGCTCCAGAGACACTGGTGGCTTGGTTGGAACAGAAGAAAATAGGGAACGGCCCTGACCCATGGGTGGCTGACAGACAGGACCTGGTTTTGTGCTTTCTGGTGTTCTAAGTATGGCAGAGGGGGCTGACATGTCCCCATTCTGAACTAGTGCCTAAGAGGTGTGGTCCAGAGAAAACGCCCCTAAAAGGGGAGGTTCCCCAGCAGTGAGCAATGGGGGCCTGCCCTCTGCAGGGGGCGAAGCAGGAGGGGTGGAGGAGCCCCCATTCTGCAGTTGGGCTGTTGCAGTGGTATATATAGAAGGGAAAGGTGGGTTGGCCAAATAATTGGGAACAAAGGGCAGTTCTGACTCCTTCTTCAGCTGGGGAAGGCTGTCATCATCACCATCATCTTCCACTCCCATGATCTTCCTGATTTCCCTCCTTGGTGTCAGCTGGGCTGGCACTTCTCCTTTCGTGGCAAGAATTTCTTTGTCAGCTCCAGACTTCAATAGGTAAGAGATGACTTCGCTGTGATTGCATTTACATGCCCAAGCAGGTCCAGCCGTTGACCTCATTTTGGGAGTTCACATCCACCCCACTCTCCACCAGTTTCTGCACCTCCCGAATGTCCCCCAAGGCCGCAGCCTCTCGAAGCCTTTCCTGCTGCTCCTTCTGCTCAAGCAGGGTGCTCATCTTGCCTAAGGCCCCAGGGCCCTGCGCAGGCCCGCCCACCACGCCCAAGGCCTGTCAGCGCCACCCCCGCCAGCCACGGCTGGCTCCCAGCCATGGGGAGGGAGCCCCGAGTTCTCCCGCCCAGCTCACGCCTCTGCTGCCGGCTTCCAGGCCTAGCTCCAATTTCTAAGGAGTGTCTCTCTGCCTACAGACTTACCTCCCTACACTCAGCCAGAGGGGCTGATTTGGTCAAGTAGGTCTCTCAATTCCCTTCAATTAGATAAATTACTTTCCATTGGATTAATTCCTTTCCTTTGGCTTCCACCATCAACAGCCAGTGTGTCAGTGGCTTTCCAGGACCCAAAGGCTCTTCCAACGTCCTCCTACATCTACTTCCTCTGCTCTCCTTCCCAGGCCTAATTTTGTTCATTCTGCCAGGAGGGAGATCCTTCAGCTCAGGTAGCACACTCAGCCCATCCTCTGATGTGAGACCCTCTCCCAGGAAGCCCTTCCTGGGAATCCTTCCTTGTCTGGTTGCCAGGCTGACTTCTTGTCCTATTATCCTCAGCACAAGCCTTGGATCTTCCCCCCACTGCATGGGTTTCCTGAGTTAATTTGCTCCTTGTTGATAAGTTGTTGCTGTCAAATGCCAAGACAAATATAACTCATAGAGATCCTATGAACAATAGATCTGAACTCTGTCCTATCCTATACCATCCTTATCATCCTCATCAAATTTTAATCCATTGCCACAGACACTGGATTGTTCCATCTCTTTGAGTGTCTTTCTCTCCTTTGCTGACCCTTCACCCTTTCAAGCATGATGTCCCTTTCCAAGGAATAGCCTCTTCTAACAATATGTCCAAAATATCTGAAACAAAGCTTTACCATCCTTACCTCCAAGGAACATGCTGATTACACTTTCTCCAAGACATAGCTGTTTGTTTCTTTGGCAGTCCATCAGATATTCAGTACTCTTCTCCAATACCACAACTCAAATGTATCCATTCTTCTGTCATCTTTATTCATTGTCCATCTCTCACATACATAGCAAATGATTGGAAAGACTGTGGCTTGGGTCAGGCACATATTGGTCTTTAAATTGACATCACTGTTCTTCAGGACTTTGGAGAGATCCCTGGCAGCTGACTTTCCCAGTGCTGTGCATCTTCCAATCTCCTGACTGCTAGTACCAAGAGTTTTGACTATGGATCCAAACAAAATGAACTCATTGGCAATTGCAATATTCTTTCCATCTATCATGATGTTGCCTGTTGGTCCAGTGCTGAGGGCTTTTGTTTGTTTGTCTTTTATATTGAGATGTAATCCATATTAAATGCTGAATTATCTGCAGCAAGTGCTTTAGGTTCTCCTCATTTTCATCAAGCAAGATTTTATCATCTGCATAACACAGGTTGTTGATGAGCCCTCCTCTAATCCTGATGCCATATTCTCCTTCATTAAGTCCAACTTCTTGAATGATTTGCTCAGCAAACAGATTGAATAAGTATGGGTAAAGGAAATAGCCCTCATGTACAACTTTTCCAATTTTAAACCATACAGTATTCCCTTGTTCTGTTTGGACAACACCTTCTTGGCCCAGGTATAGATTTGAGAGAACAACAATTTTCATTACTTTCTGTTCTGCCAATAGCTGTGAGAGGTTTTATTTCAGAACTCAAATATTGTTATCCTAGGATTCACTGGTATGGGATCAAATGTCTGCTCTTCCTTCACTATTTTATTATTATTATTATTATTATAAACATGTATGGGGATTCAAGGGGATAAAGGTTGGGAGTAGAAGAGTGAGGATGGGCAGGGATGAAATCACAGGGCCCCACAGTTTGGTGGGTGGAGGGAGTGGGTAAAGGAAATAAGAAAGATCCAGTGGGGACCAGAAAAGACAGGGTGATGGTGAGCATAGTCCAATGTTGACCATTTTTTTTTTCAACAAAGAAATTTTCTTTTTCACTTGTGGGGTCCTAATGTGGGAATGGGGTGCAGACTCTCTGGCTTTTCCATTCTGAACAGTGGCATTAAGGTGAAGGAGGAAGGGGAGCCCACTTTAACACCTTACTGGTGATCCTGAGTTGAAGCTTCATACCATCTTGTTCAGTTAGAAGATATTTTCCTGACATTTCTGCCCTCTGGGTTGCAAAGTGTTTGCCAAGGTGAGTCCAGTGGGGATGGATGGCTGAACCTGAAGGCTCTATTCTCCTTCATTTCCTTGCCTGACAGTTATATTTCCCTTTTGTCTCTGGAACTGGGCTCAGAGTGTAGGTCTGGAGCAAGACTCAGTGTTCAGGTTACCTATAGGAAAGGGAGCAAACCTAGACAGAACAAACTTGTGAGTTACAAAGAGAAAGGCTTTAGAGGTGTTACTTACGGATGTACTGGAGAAGGAGGTGGAGGAAAGTGGCTTAGATAAAATTCCTTGTATATACTAGGTGGCTTTTCCCAGCAACCTGACAGCTCTCCCAGGAGCCAGGCGGCACACCCAGGGGCTGGGCGGCACACCCCAGGGGCCAGGCAGCTCTCCCCAGGGGCTGGGCAGCACTCCCTGGGGGTTGGGTGGCAGTCCTCAGGGGCCAGGCAGCACTCCCCCCCCCCAAAGCTCCCCAATGTCTGTACCAGAGACAGCACCCCTGGCTCTAGTGTTGCCACCATCACCCACCCTCCCCTCCACCAAGCAGTCCAACTGCAACTCGAAGTAGATATCACTACCTTCCCCCTCTACAAATTGAGAACAGGCTTTGAGAGTGGTGAACAGACCTGCTCTAGGTCAAAACAGTTCTTGGCAGAAGTAGTCAAGAAATCAAAAGATGTGGTGCATTGAGGAGATCTGCTGTCCAGGATCTATTGTTGTTGTTACATGCCTCAAGTTGTAGATGACTCATAGTGGCCCTATAAACAAAAGACCTGGACACTTGTATAACTTTCATCGTTTCTCTAAGTTCATAGTTTCTGGAGGCAAGCTATTTCAGAAGTGGATGCCACTTCTCCTTCCAACTTGTTTAATCAGGAAGCTCCACCAACACTGTCCACCACAGGTAACCATTCAAATCAGTGTCACATTGTTTAGCATCACAGTAACCATGAGTTACCTCTGTACAGCCAATTGGCAGACCAGTAGTATACCATTTAGAAGAATATTTGACCAAAAACAGGTCAGAGGGCTGCAGATTAAAATCACCCACCTTTGGCTTGTTAGCAGAACTTTCTATCTGCTAGGCCAACAGAGCTCAGAGCTTTGGCTCACAGCAATTCTATGAACAACAGATCTAATCCATGCCCTATCCTATGCCACACTACAATTCAAGGCATGCTGGAGACCATTGCTACAGTCACAGTTTTAATCTATTCTGTTGAGGATCTTCTTTTCTTCTCTGACCTATCCAAAGAAATCATCTTCACTGACAGTGAGATGCTCTCCCACATCTAGTCCTTCACCTCCCATGGCTCCATGGTGTCGCTGAGCATGCCTCCCCTGCCCCCTGTCATCCCCTTCCACACCGGAGGCCCCAAGCCTCTGGCATCTGCCACCCATGATCATGTGAGGCTCTGTCACACTGGCCGCAGTGCCAGGAGCCCACCACCTGGACCAGGTGAGTGGACCTGTGGGCTCCGTCCATGACAGCCCTGCAGGGTTGTGGCAGCACAGGCTCAGCAGCTATCAGCTGATGGAAGCAGGACTCACCCATGTTTTTTTGAGAATCTTTGTCCTCTTGATGTTGAGCCTTAATCCATATTGAAGACCAGTTGTTGTTGTTGTTGTTGTTGATTGCCCTCTAATTGAGCGTGACTCATAGTGATTCTATGACCAAAAGACCTAATGTCTTTCCATAACAGTCGTCATTTCTGTAAGTTCATAGAGCTTCGAGAAGCATGTGGTTTAGGAAGTGGATGCCACTACTGTTTCCAAACCTGTTTTACAGCTAGGAGCTGTAAAACACCGAACACTGTCCACACTGGGAAGCCATTCTGGTATTTGATACCCCAGTGGTACAAGGTTCAGCATCACAGCAACTCAAGTTACTTCATACTGTGAATTGACAAAGAGTGATGTACAAAGTGGAAGAGTGTTCTTCTAGATTAAAAAAAAAAAGCATAGTTTCACTTAGCAGTGTTTAAGTGTCATCAAGTCCAGTAATCAACTGTTCTAACTGGGATCACAGACCAGTTTGTGGGCATTCTGTGAACCCAAGGGACATGCAGTAGTTCTTGGTGGCAGTGGCAATGAGGATTGAAAAGAATGGACCCATCTGTCAGCTCTAAATATGATGCTGGCCTTTCTGGTGATACCATTCACCCCAGAAAACCTGGGGTGCAGCAGGCTAGAGGACAGAGAAGTCAGATTCCTACTTGGTGATGAAGACCTCCCAGGAGAGAGCAGCAGGCTTCAGCGTGAACAGAGGTCTGGCCCTTGGTGTGGGCCGGAATTGGCTGGCTGGGCATGTGGACTGTGGAGGGGCACGCAGTCCATTTCAATGTGGCTTGCCATTCTCCTGCTCCTCATGCTGCTTCCCCCATCACCACCATCTTTGCTCTGAGAATTTCTTTTAGAATAAGTTTATTCTGTGGCCGTGCAGGGGCTCCATCATAACGGCCACAGGGCCTGGTGCCTGCCGCCCATCCCAGTCAGGGGATTCCTGGTCTCCAGCTGTGGTGGTCCCATGGGGCTGCAGCAGCGTGGGCTCGGTTGTGGGGGGCTGGCAGTAGTGGGACTCACACATATTTTTTTCAAGAGTCTTTATCCTCTTGATGTTGAGCCTCAATCCATAGTGAGAACCAGTAGTCAACTATTTAAATGTTCAGGTATAGATAAGCCGCAGGGTGTGGAGGGCCCTGGTGGCCCATTTCAATGGGGCTTGTCACACCTCCTGCTCCTCACACTGCTTCCCCTGCCACCGCCATCTTGGTTCCTCCTTTCCTCTACGATTCTGATCATGTTGGATTTGACCAGAATGTGGACATGGAAAATAACAATGGTTAAACTCCACTTCCCATTCTGAGTGTTCAGGAAAATGCCATCCTACAAATAAGCACCATGTGATTTTATGTAAAACACAGAGATACCTTGTTTATCTATCAAAAGTCCATGCACAGGGGAGAAATCATAGTGTTGCACAATTTGGTGGATAGAGGTAGGAGTCAGGTAAAGGAAATGGGAACGTTCTGATGGGGATCTGCAAAGACGTTTTGATGGTGATCTACAAAGATGAGCATAGTTCATTATTTTTTTCTTTTTTGTTTATTAATTTTAAAGAAAGTTAACAGAGACTTTGGATTTCCATTTATTCATTGTTGCACACTTTGCTCCCTGACCAACACCCCCCCCACCCTAGTTCTCTTTTCTTTTTTAAAAGAAAAAAAATATATTTCATTGATATACAATTCCACCCCCTCCCCCAGTCCACTCCACTATGCAGCTTTCATTCTGGACTCTTGTCATGACAATAATACCTAATCATATTTCCCTGTTAAATAGCTCTCTCCCTCATCTGTTTTAATGCAGTATGCACTATGTATCCCCCCTTTTCTTAGGTTCCTCACAACCCAGATACCAGTTCTGTTTTACAACAGTGGCATTATGTATTATTTGTCCTTTTGTGACTGAGATATTTCACTCAGCATAACGTCCTCCAGGGTCATCCATTTTGTATAATAATTCATGAGTTTCTTGTTTTTCAATGCAGCATAGTATTCCATTGTGTGAATAAACCACAGCTTCTCTATTCATTTGTTTGTTGATGGGCACTTGGGTTGTTTCTAACTCTTTGCTATTGTGAACAAAGCCACAAATAAACATGGGTAAGTATACATCTGCTTGGGTGACAGTTCTGGTTTCTTTAGGGTATATTTCCAGTAGTGGAATTGCTGGGTCAAATGTTATTTCTATTTCCAATTTTTTGAGAAAAAAATTCCATAGTGGATGAACCATTTTACAATCCCACCAACAGTGAATGAATAAGGGTTATAGTCTCTCCACAACCTCATCAACATTTGTTGTTTGCTATTCTGTTATATTTGGCTATTCTTACTGGGTGAGACAATATTTCATAGTTGTTTTGATTTGCATCTCTCTTAGAGCTAGGGATTTTAAACATTTCTTCATGTGTTTGTTTGCCATCTGAATGCTGTCTTTGGTGAAGTGTCTGTTCATATCTTGTGCCTATTTTTCAATTGGGTTGTTTATCTTGTGGTACTCATGTATTCTATAAATTCTAGATATAAGTCCCTTATCTGACATATCACTACCAAATTTTTTTCCCAATCTGTGGCTTCCATTTTTACCCTGTTGGAGAAGATTCTGGATGTGCATAGGAATTTGATTCTCAGAAGGTCCCATTCATCTATTTTATCCTCTCCTGGTGGTAGGCTTTTCAGGATGCTCAAAAGACTGTTCATGATGTAGATTAGAGCTTCTAGAGTTCTTCCAAGCTTTTCTGTAATGAAGCTTATAGTCCCTTGGTTTTAGTCCTAGGTCCTTGATCCACTTTGAGTTGATTTTGTGTATGGAGTGAGATGTGGATATTGCTTGAGTTTTCTGCAGATAGTTTTCCAAGTTTACCAACACCATTTGTAAAAAAGGCTATCATTTCCCCAATTAACTGATTTCATCTACTTGTCAAAAATCAGTTAATGGTAGGTAGATGGGCTGATTTCAGGATTCTCAATGCTATTCCATTAATCTATGTGTCTGTCATTGTCCCAGTACCATGCTGTCTTGACCACCACAGCAGTGTAGTAGGATTTGAAATCAAGGAGTGAGATGCCTCCCACCTTATTTCCCTTTTTAAGGAGTGCTTTGCTTATTTGGGGCCTCTTTCCAGAAATTGGAGTTTGCCTTTTCCATCTCGTTGAAGAATGGAATTGCTATTTTATTGGGAGTGCATTGAATGTGTCAATTGTTTTTGATAGTACTGTTATTTTTCACAACATGGAGCCTTCCTATCCATGAGTAAGGTATAATCTTCCATTTCTCCAGGTCTCTTTTTGTTTCTTGTAGTAGTGTTTTGTCATTTTCTTTGACTAGATCCTTAGTGCATCTGGTTCAATTTACTCCCAAGTATATAATCTTGTGATTAGCTATTCCGAAGGGTATTGTTTTTCTCCACTCCAGTTCTGTATTCTCTTTGTTATTATAGAGATTGATTGTTGTATGTTGCTCTTGTATCCTGCCACTTTTCTGAATTAATCAACTATGTCCAGTAGTTTTCTTGCAGAGTCTTTAGGGTTTTCAAAAAATACTATCATATCATCTGCATAGAGTTATAATTTTACCTCCTCTTTGTCAATTTGGATACTTCTTATTTTCTTCTCTTGTCTTATTGTCATCTCTAAGGCTTCCAAAACAATGTTGAATAGGAGAGGTAATAGTGGGCATCCTTGCCTAGTTCCTGTTCTCAAAGGGAATGTCTTTAATCACTCTCCATTGAGAACAATGTTGGTTCTCGCATTTGTGTATATACTTCTTACTATGTTGAAGAAATTCTCCTCTAATCCTATTTTGTTGAGTGTTTTGATCAAGGAAGGGTGTTGGATTTTGTGAAAAACTTTTTCTGCATTAACTGATAGGAACTTGTGGTTCTTGTCCTTGGCTGTGTTAATGTGATGAATTACATTGTTTGTTTTTCTTATGTTGAACCATCCTTGCATACCTGTTATGAATCCCACTTGGTCATGTTGAATTATTTTATATATATATATATCATTGGATTCAATATGTATACCATCTATTCCTGGGGCTTTATTTTTTGCTATTTCTTTCAAAACAGCTTAAACTTCTTCCTTCATCATCATAGGCTCTTGCTCATATGTTGTTTCGTTAAATTCTTCTGTGTCTGCCAATTCCTTTCAATACAATGACTCAGTATATTCTTTCCACCTTCTTTTGATATCTCCTGGATCATTTAATATTCCTCCTAAAGCATCCTTGATTATAGCAACTCGAGGTTTGAATTTGTTCTTCAGTTCCTTGAGCTTAAGAAATGCTGAGCGAGTTTGACCCTTTGGGTTCTCTGACTCCAACTCCTTACACATTTCATTGTAATATTTTACTTTGTCATCCCATGCTGCCTTTTGAAATCTTCTGTTCAGCTCTTTAGCATCTTGAATTCTTCCTTGTGCTTTGGCTTCTCTGCACTCCAGTGCAATCTTCAGAGTTTCTTCTGACATCCATTTTGGTCTTTTCTTCCTCTTCTGTCTTTGTAATGAACATTTACACTCTTCTTGGATGATACCCTTGATATCCTCCCACAACTCATCTGGTCTTCGTTCATTTGTGTTCAAGGCCTCAAACCTGTTCTTCAGATGGCCTGAAATTCAGGTGGGATAGACTCAAAGTTATATTTTGGTTCTCGTGGATTCGGTTTAGTTTTCCTCAGCTTCAGCTTGAACTTGCATATGAGTAATTGGTGGTCTGTTCCACAATCAGCCCCCGGCCTAGTTTTCACAGCTGATATTGAGCTTCTTCAGCGGTTCCTTCCACAGATGTAATCGATCTGATTCCTATGCATACCATCAGGTGAGATCCATGTGTATAACTTACGTTTATGTCTCTTAAAAATGTGTTTGCAATGAATAAGTCATTGATTGTGCAAAACTCAATCATTCTATCTCCAGCTCCATTTCTGTCTCCGAGTCCATGTTTTCCAACTACTGATTCGTCTTCTCTGTTCCCGACTTTTGCATTCCAGTTACCCATTATTATCAATGCATCTTGATTGCATGTTCGATCGCTCTCCAACTGTAAAAGTTGACAAATCCAAATTAGCAGACAAGAACTAAAGTTCAGATAATTATGCAGGATCTAAATTCAGCAAAAATCAAGATAATTTGCCAAAACCACAAAGGTCATCAGAGAAATACTGGGATCAAGCTTAGAAAGCTTAGTCTATGATATAATGAGACTGAAAAATACAGCCAAAAATTCACAATCTGGAGAGGATAAAATGGATGAGTAGGACCTTCTAAAGATTAAATCTCTGTGTGCATCAAAAAATTTTCCAGAAGAGTTGAAAGAAAACCTACTGATTGGGGAAAAACATTTGGCAATACCATTTCAGACAAAAGTCTTATATTAAAAGTTTACAAAATCCTACAGGGCCTCCACAAGAAAAAGACTGATGACTTAATTACCAAATGGGCAAAAAACAGGAAATGATTTTCACAGAGGAAGATCTTTGGATGGCTAACAGACATTTGAAGAAATGTTCAAAATCACTGGCAATAAGAAAGATGCAAATCAAAACCACAATAAGATAATATCCCACTCTAGTGGCTGTAGCAAAGTTTAACAGGACAGCAAGCAATAAATGCTGGAGAGGATGTGGAGAGATAGGAACTCTTATACACTGTTGGTGGGATTGTAAAATGACACAACCACTCTGGAAGGCAGCTTGGCATTTCCTCAGAATGCTGAACACAGAATTTCCATATGACCCAACTATTCCACCGTTTAGAATATACTCTGAGAAAATAAGAACTTAGACATAAATGGAGACTTGTATACCAATGTTCATAGCAGCATTACTTACCATGGCAAGAACATGGAAACAGCCCAAATGTCCAACCAAAATAGAATGGATTGAGAAATTGTGGTACATTCACACAATAGAATACAATGCAGCATGCAGGAATAATGGTTTTATAAATCGCTACTTAACTTGGAGAGACTGGGGAACATTTTGCTAAGTGAGCTAACCCAGTCCCATAAGGACAAATACTGTATAAGACCGTTCTTGTAGAAATAGACAATTAGCAAAATATGTTTGAGGATCTAAGGGTGGGTGGGGTGGGCAAGTGGTAATCATAGGGTAGCACAATTTGATGGGTGGAGGGAGGTGTGGATTAAGGAAATGAGAAAGATCCGATGTGAAAAACAATGAATACAAACTTTGTAAGTAAACCAGTATAAAATAAAATAAATTAAAAAAGAAAAACAGCAAGAGAATTTAACAGGATACACCTCTGATTAAATTCCTTTTCAACTAATGGCTGTTCATAGTAGGTTGCACTATGGAATGATTATATTATAATATATCCCTTGAGTAATTGCTTGCTATGCATCAGAGAGCTGGACAGTGACTAGGGATAATAGAAGGATATTTGATGCCTTTCAGCTGTGGTACTAGAGAAGAGTATTGAAAAATACCATGGACTGCCAGGACAAACAGGTTCATCTTAGAGTGGGTGAAACTAGATTGCTCCTTGGAGGCAAGGATTCTGAAGTTTCGTCTGACATAGTTTGGGCATGTTGCAAGGAGGGACCAGTCCTTGGAAAGGGCTATCATGCTTGGGAGAATGGAGGGACAGAGAAAGAGAGGAAGACCCTCGATGAGATGGATCGATGCAGTGACAGGGGCAATGAAGGTAGATGTGTCAGAGACCATAAAGCTGGCACAGGATAGAGCAGGTTTCAGGGTCGCTATGTGTCTCAAGTGACTCAATGGCATATAACAACAACAACAAATCATTACATCAGATCTTTTCATAACTGAGAAACCAGATATAGGCAGCTAAATTGACACACTCTTCAACATCAGACTTAAAGTTCCTCTTGGATTTTCTTTTTATTTTAATATTTATTCCTTCTTTTTCACAGGTACACAATAATAGCTTCATTTTTGAAGTTTTGTCTCTTCTCTGTGGTCACCAGGCACGTCTATCTTACAGGCTGTGCACTTGGAAAAGTGATACACAATCTCATTACCAGCACATTCATGAACTCTAAGAACTGGGACATGGACATCCTTGAAGGAGCCCTTGTTCGGCCTTGTCACCTATCTGTCCTGAATGATCTTTCTACAATAACCATGAGACTTTTTTTTTCTTCCTCTAATCTTTAAAATCTCATGACTCTAAATTAAAACAAAGTGATCACCCTTCAGAATATTTCTCACTATCTTGCAATAAACACCAAGTCGTTAATTAAGAATGATGTGCTTTTCCCCTTAGAGCACACAGGTTTCATAAAGGCTGGGGAAGTGATTTCTGTGTGTGCTGTTCTGCCTAGGACATCGCCAATGCTCACTTATTAGAGGTGATGGTGATGGATGACAGTGAATCTTAAAAGAGTGAGAAACAAGTGTCAAATAGATAGGTTTGTTCTTTTGTCTACTACAAATTTAAATGAAATTGAGAAATAGCTTCTAGAATATTGACCCAAATATTGTATTGAAGTGGGCGTTTCACTGGAGCTGGGAGGAAGATATCTAACACATTTAGGACAACATAATAATGCCTCTTCATACATAGCTCTTTTTTTTTCATGCCTTTAAGAGGCAGTGGTCCTAGGGATATTGTAGCTAATGTTAGATGGATCTTGGCTGAAAGCAGGGAGTACTAAAGGAATGTCTATCTGTGTTTCATTAACTATGCAAAGGCATTTGACTGTGTGGATTACAACAAACTGTGGCTGACTCTAAGAAGAATGGGAATCCCAGAACACTGGTGTGCTTATGCAAAGCTTATACTTGGACCAGGAAGCAGATGTCAGAACAGAGCGAGGAAACACTGCATCATTCAAAATTGGGAAGGGTGTACACCAGGGATATGTCCTAGCTCCACCTTTTCAATCTATATGTGGAACAGATTATCCAGGAGGCTGGGCTCTATGAGGAGCAATGTGGCATCAAGTTTGGAGGAAGACTCATCAACAATCTGCATTATGCAGATGACACAACCCTGCTTGCTGTCACTGAGAAGGACCTGAAGCACTAGCTGCAGAAGGTCAAGGACTGCAGCCTTCAGTGTGGATTGAAGCTCAATATCAAGAAAACAAAGATTCTCATCACTGGGCCAATCGGCAACATCATAATAGATGGTGAAGAGATTGAGATTGTTAACAACTTTAGTTTGCTTGGCTCCACAATCAACACTGTTAGTACCAACAGCAAGGAAATTAAAAGACAAATTGCTTTTACTTTTACTTTTCAAAGAGAAGAGCGAACTTGGGGGGAGAAGTGGACAGTGAGAAAAGGGCAACAATGAATGAATGTAAATCCAAAGTCTCTGTAAATTTTCATTAAAATTAATAATAATAAGATAAATTGCTTTGGGAAAGTCTGCTATCAGAGACCTCTCCAAAGTACTGAAGAGAAACGATGTTAGTCTGGAGACTAAGGTGCGCCTTATCCAGGCATTAGTCTTTGTAATTATTTGCTATGCCTCAGAAAGCTGGACAAGAACTAGGGATGATAGAAAGAGAGTTGATACCTTTGAGCTGTGGTGCTGGAAAAAAGTATGACTATACCATGGACTGCTAGGAGTACAAACAGGTTTGTTCTGGAGAGAATAAAACCAGGCTTCTCCTTTGAGGCAAGGATTCTGAAGCTTCATCTGACCTACTTAGGACAATGTCACAAGGTGAGAGCAGTCCTTGGAGAAGGATATCATGCTTGGGAGGGTGGAGGGAACAGCACAAGAGAGGAAGACCCTCAACAAGACGGACTGATTCAGTGACTGAGGTAATGGGGGTAGGTGTGTCAGGGACAATAAGATTGGCACAGGATAGAGCAGGGTTTAGGGCTGTTGTACACAGGGTTGCTATAAGTCAAAGGTGACTCGACGGCACATTACAACAACAGTTCATTTACCTTCATTTCCAAACAGGAAGATATATTCTATGACTTGGGAAAATTAAATAAGCTAAAGATATGGCTCTCATTCCTTTAAAAAAAATTTGTAACCTTGAAAATACATAAACATTTTCAGAGGAGGGTAATTTCAATGTACAGGGTCAATAGGAAGGAGAAGTAGAAGCCATAGGCCATGAGACAAGAAGAAATACTTTGGGGACAAGGAGGAAAGCAGAGGCATAGTGCTTTCTGATTGGATTGTTGTGAGACTGTGACCCTTCCAGGGAGCACATACAGGCCTCAAGTTCTCTGAGCAGCTGGAGACAAGAGGCAGGGTCATTGGCTCTTAGAGAAGAAGAGAAGTGAGAGGAACAGAAGACTGGTACAGGGGGGCTGGAGCAGGGGCCAGCACTCCTGGCCGCGCTTTGAGTCTTGTCTTGTTTTTCTTTTTTGTTTCTGTGGGGGACCTTCTCCTAGACCTTCCTGCGAGAGCGAGCCAACCGGCAGACCAGAATGAATGCTCAGATTGGGAAAATGAAACGGAGGAAGCAAGATGAAGGGCAGGTATGTCCCCTGTGCAACCGCCCCCTGGCAGGATCGGAGCAGGAGATGAATAGGCATGTGGAGCATTGCCTTTCTAAGAGGGAGGGCTCTTGCCTGACTGAGGAGGATGCTGTGGACATCGAGCATGAGAACAGCACCCGCTTTGAGGAATATGAGTGGTGTGGGCAGAAGCGGATATGGGCAACCACCCTCCCGGAAGGTGGCTTCCAAGGCTCTGGCTTCGTCATGTGCAGCGGCAAAGAGAACCCGGATAGTGATGCTGACTTGGATGTAGATGGAGATGACACTCTGGAGTATGGGAAGCCACAGTACACAGAAGCTGATGTCATCCCTTGTACAGGCGAGGAACCTGGTGAAGCCAAGGAAAGAGAGGCACTCCGGGGTGCAGTTCTAAATGGTGACCCTCCCAGCACACGCATCACACCTGAGTTCTCTAAGTGGGCAAGTGATGAGATGCCTTCCACCAGCAATGGTGAGAGCAGCAAACATGAAGCGATGCAGAAGACATGCAAGAATAGCGACATCGAAAAAATCACTGAAGATTCAGCTGTGACGACATTTGAAGCCCTGAAGGCTCGGGTCAGGGAGCTTGAACGGCAGCTATCTCGTGGGGACCGTTATAAATGCCTCATCTGCATGGACTCATATTCGATGCCTCTAACGTCCATCCAGTGTTGGCACGTGCACTGTGAAGAATGTTGGCTTCGGACCCTGGGTGCTAAGAAGCTCTGCCCTCAGTGCAGCACTATCACAGCACCTGGAGACCTGCGGAGGATCTACTTGTGAGCTAACTACCCCCAGCAGGCCTTGCCTCAAGCAGCCCCACCTGCCCCCAGACTCTGTGACCCTCCTCCCTTGTACATACTTGCACACAGGTGTCCCATGTACATACACACACTCACACTCTTATTACACTCACACATATACACAGGGCTCTGGAGCCAGAGTGGAGACTGAGAGTCAGGCCTGCTGCAGGCTCCCACCAGGATTGGGGACCACACTTGTTCCAGGCTGTTCCCAAGGTGGAGCAGGGAGTAGGGGAGCAAGGCTCCTGAAAACTAGCTTCCATGCTGACAGATGAACAGACATGCAAACACCAGATTGAAGCACATGTAATATAGACAGTCCGCTGTTAGGGACCTCTCTAAAGTACTCAGGAACAACAGTGTCTCTCTGGAGACTAAGGTGCGCCTGATACAGGCCATGGTGTTTGCAATCACTTGTTATGTCTCAGAGAGTTGGACAATGACTAGGGAGGACAGAAGGAGAGTGGATGCTTTTGAGCTGTGGTGCTGGAGAAGAGTACTGAATGTACCGTGGACTGCCAGGAAAACAAACAGATTCATCTTGGAGAAGATTAAACCAGGCTGCTCCTTGGAGGCAAGGATTCTGGGGCTTCGTCTGACATACTTTGGACATGTTGCCAGGAGGGACAGGTCCTTGGAGAGGGACATCACGCTTGGGAGGGTGGAGGGACAAGGCAGGGGGGGAAGACCCTCTATGAGATGGATTGATTCGGTGACTGGGGTAATCTGGATGGGTGTGTCGGAGGCAGTGCGGTTGGCGCAGGACAGAGCAGGGTTTAGGGCTGTTTTGCATAGGGTCGTTATGAGTCAAAAATGACTCGACGGCACATAACAACAACAACAACAACAACAACATGTTTACAATGTTGTGTATAAATGGAACATCTCCTTTTCTTCCACCCCACCCTTCTTCCTTTGGTTGTACGATTTTCTTAAGAACACCTGAAGCAGTGCCACCTTCGGGGCTGGCTGGGGACTCGGCCCATCCATCTCTTTGGGTGCCTGTCTTCCCCTCCCATGGTGTCCTTCCCCCTCCCATGTGCTCGGTGTTCAGTGGTGTATATTTCTTCTCCCAGTCATGGGGCACGTGCCCCGAGGGACATGATCCTCTCCTTAGTCTTAGTTCATGGGGCTCTTTGTAAGGAGTTGGGGGAAGGGACAGGAGATGGAAACCGAGCAGAAGAAGCAGGGGCTAATAACAGGGCTGGATGAGGGTGCTCCTGGCTGCCCAGCCTTCTGTCAAGAACTGTTCCTGAGGTTAGAGCTGCTGTTCCCAGGGAGTCTCCCCCTACCTCTTCTGTGGGCCCCATGGTGTGATGCTGTGTCTGTATATTCTATACAAAGGTACTTATCCTTTCCCTTTGTAAACTACGTTTGACATGGATTAAACCAATATAAATGAAAAAAAAAGAAGAAGACTGGTACAAAAAATATTAGGAAACAATATCAGAAGAGAGGAAAGAAACAGTCAAGGATAAGTGGTCATTCAGAAAAGGAAAGACAATTTAAAAAATTAATATAGATAGGTGGTGGCTCAGGATTTCATAGTGTACAGAAAGACTATAAGACTGGACCCTAAAAGTTACTTGAGATAATTTGAGCACAGTGTCAAACTGGATTTCAGATCATGTTACATCATCCCCTAGACTAGAAATCAGGCAGTGAATACTTCAGAGCCCAAAGAAAGAGGCCAGAGTGAGAAAGACCAGATGTGTCCATACCACTATCACAAAGACTGGCCAGTCAAAATCAGATGAAGGAGATGACACTTTGGAAGAACTTAGCACGGCCTGGGCATTCTGTCCCAAGGGTGAAATGAACTGTGGTTCACATCAAGGGAAAACAGGTCTGAAGCTGCCAGAGAACATAGGTGAGGGGCAATGAAAGATAAATTTCCACTACTCCACACTGACTACCACTCACCACCTCCAGAGCTGAGTTGAGAGACATCATCCAGCTTGTCTACCTACAAGGTAAGTGAAGAGGAGATTTGTGGAGAGGAGCCAGAGGATGTTGCTCAAAGGTCAAGTATGTGTTCCCAAACGCACAAAATCTTCCAGGTCTGGAGGAGATGTGTGGGTAAGGCCCAGGGATTAACTGGACCTGGAGAAGGATAAATTGTCTCTGCTCAAATCTGAGTGGGACCAAGCCCAAGGTGGGTGATTTTAATCTGCAGCCCTCGGGCCTAGTTCAAATTGGTTTTTTGTCAAACGTTCTAGGTGATCTGTGCATTGCTGTACAGAGGTAACTCATGGTTGCTGTGATGCTAAACACTGTGATACTGATGTGCCAAATGTGAATGGTTACCCATGGTGGACAGTGTTTGGTGGAGCTTCCCGATTAAAACAAACTTGGAAGCAGGAGTGGTGTCCAATTCCGAAATGGCTTGCCTCCGGAAACTCTATAAACAGTGCTCAGGCCTTTCATTCATAGTGTCACTAGGAGTTGTCTACGACTCAACAGCACCTAACAACAACTATCTCTCCCCCATCAGACAGCACCCCAATTAACCATGCAACTTAATTCTGTCTTTACAGTGCCTTGGAAGGCTTTGGAGAGATCAAGTAGAGGAAGGTATCTATAAAAACCTGGCATCCCATCCAGCATAGTACCAGCTGGTGAGCAGGTGGCAGGCGGTCAGCGCGTGCTCCATGCAGTCTGTCACCAAGGACAGGTTAGTTGAGCACTTCTCCATTTCTCCACTCACTTTCATGTCTGTCCAGAATTAAAACAGATCCAGATTATATTCTCATCTTACATCCTTCCCATGCTGGGACCACCTTTGAGAGAAAACTTGCTAAGAATTCCTATAGCCCCCAAGTCACCCCTACACCATACTACTGCAGCCAGATTGCCCTGACACAAGCCTTCCTCAAATCAGCTTTTCCATACTAACTAGTCTGGTGCTCATCCTGAGAATATCTGGACAGCATGAACGGAGGTATTTGAGTAATACTAGGAATTTAAGTGCGAGAAAGCAGCTGTCTCACAACATCAGCTCGGTGTGAGTTCACAGGAGTCCTCTCTCACTGGATTCAGTTTCCTCCTCCAAGTAATGAGGAGCTTCAGAAAACTTATCCCAGACCTAGTAACTCTCAGCACTTTCTGGAGGTTACCAGTTGACCACAGCCAGTCATAGAAATTTGGCTAACCTTCCCTGTTCAGAGCAGAGACTGAAGGACAAACTATAAGCATATTAAGTGAATGATGGGCCCAAGGCTTCCAGAAAAATGTTTGCTTTTCTTTGTACGGTTCACAGCCAACTCACTGAATTCAAGAACTCCTTTCCATAGGCCACTTTGGTCTTGCCCCTGAGCCCGTTCCACATGTCCAGGATGCTTTAAGAAATCCTGTCTTTACAGGCACACCAAGCTTCACACCATAGCAACCTTCACACCAAAGAAGTACAGCTCCCTCTTATAAGACTCAGGGGAAAGGACTTCAGCCTTCAGTTAAATTCTACCCATTCTAGAACAAGGCGCCCATAAAATACTCTCTCTGTTAAGTTAGTGGACTTAAGAAAGAAATCAGAGAGAACAAGAGAAAACTTAAAGCAGCTTTATAAAAGGGGGGAATAGGAGAGCTCTCAGGTGAATTTCCTCATTCTGGGGATACAGAATGGGAAGTCACACTGTGAACTTATTGGGAAGCATTATTTTCATTTTATTTTATTATTTTTGTGTATGTACCATCAAATCAGATGTGACTGGTACAGGAGGAGATTGTCCCTCCTTCTCCAACAGAGCACCTGGTGGATTAGAACCACACATCTTTGGGACTGCAGTGCAGCTTCCTGCCACTAGGCCACCAGAGCTCCCTGGGAAGCGGTTTTAAAACAGTTTTCACAAACTGATCCCCTTCTATATACATTCACCAACATTTTCAGATATTTACAGAAAATTTATATAATGTGTGCTCACACTATATATAGTGTGAGTCTATAGAAGAAGCAAAAGAAAGAACAAGAATGAGGTGGAAGGGAATCCAAGAAAACCAGAAAAGAACAAGACAGAACTAATATCTGGGCACTAAAAAAAAAAATATGTATCAAAACCACTGCCATCCAGGAGATTTGGACTCGTGGCTACCCTGCAGAACAGTGTAGAACTGATCCTTCAGGATTTGGAAGGCTGCAAATATTTACAGGAACGAATTACTCCATCTGTCTCCTGATGAGCTGCCGATGGATCCAAACCCCTGACATATTGGTTAGCAGCCCAACACTTAACTTACTACGCCACTGTTGTTGTTGTTGTGTGCTGTCAGAACCGACCCACAGCTGTTTTGGAGGCAGTTAATCGCACTGGAGGAGATTGCTTATTCTTCTCCCACAGAGTGGTTGGTGGATGTGAGCCTTGTGCCTTTGGGATTGCAGTGCAGCTTCTTGTCACCAGGTGGTGTGATCTCCTCTGGTGCAATTAACTGCCTCTAAAAACTTGCTGGACAATCAGCTATGAATTAGTTCTGACTTGACGGTATACAGTAATAGACCACCAGAGATCCCTACTACACCACTGTGGTGGTGGTGGTGGTGGTGGTGTCAAGCCAGAATTGACCTATAGCCGACCCTCCAGCAGGTTTCCAGAGGCAGGTAACCACACGGGAGGAGACTGCCCATCCATTTCCTGCAGAGGAACTGGTGGCCTTGAACTACGTGCTTTAAAGATTGCAGTGCAGCTTCTTGCCACTATGCCACCAGAGCTCCCCACTAGAGATCCTTTTATCTGGGTACACCTTTATTGGAAAAGATATTTTTTTTAAATTAAATTTTATTTGTTTTAATGAACATTTACAGGGATTTTGGGTTTTCATTCCTTCATTGCTGCACCATTCTCTCTACCCTCCTCCCCAGTTTGTTCTTCTTCCCCCACCATCCGAATGTCTGTTTTAATTGTCCAATTGCCACAGTGCTTGTCAAAGTCAGTTCTGATTAATCTCCTTTGTCAGTGTGTCCTTTGCCATTCCCTATCACTCCTCCCT